TTACCTTTTTGAGGAACTGGAATAGCTAGAAAAGCTAGAAGCTGTATTGCTGTGTAAAAAAGTGAGTGGCAGGTGCTCCTCGCAGCTGTTCCCTTTAGACAAGACACACACTTGTGATTCTCAGTTCCATCTTGCCCTAGAGACTTCCTGACAGTGAAGCAGAATGTCAGTTCCACTTACTATCATGATCATGCTGCTGTTGTTAATTTCATTCTGGTTCATCATTTCCCTTATTCGCTTGCTCTCCTGGATATTTTGAATTTGTGACATCTGTATTCCTTATTTTTTGAAGCCTTTCCCCAGCCCTTTCTGTGCCCCTCACCCTAATCACACATTGGCTGAGCCTGAATTTTATCTCACTCATACGTCTATTGTTAATCTTGTTGAACTGTTATAAAATGAGATTTTAGTTAACATATAACACACATAACTAATTTTTGCATGTTCTTGGACTGTAAAATGAAATTATAAAGTATTTACCCATTGGTTTCTGTCTTCTTTTACTAAATATTATGTTTATAAGATTTTTCCATATTGTTATATCTACCAGTAGTCTTTTAATTTTTGTGTGTGTGTAATATTCAAGGTTAAAACACCAAAATATATTTATACATTCTTTTGTTGATGAGCATTTGGGTTGTTTCCAGTTTGGATCTATTAGAATTAGTGTACAGAATATTCTTGTATTCTTGTGCTATATTTTAATAAACATCTGGAGATATTTCTGTTCGGCAATATGTGTAAGGGTGCAATTAAGTTATGTAGGATGTGCTTATTCAGCTCTATTTTATGCCATTACAAAGTTATGCCTTGCGGTTATGCTAACATTGACTTCTACTATCAGAGTATGAGAATTCCAGTTGTTCTACACCCTCACCAACACGCGAAGTTGTCAGCCTATTTACATTTAGCAAGTCTTTTTTTTTTTATACTTTAAGTTCTAGGGTACATGTGCACAACGTGCAGGTTTGTTACATATGTGTACATGTGCCATGTTGGTGTGCTGCACCCATTAACTCGTCATTTACATTAGGTATATCTCCTAATGTTATCCCTCTCCCCTGCCCTCACCGTACAACAGGCCCCAGTGTGTGATGTTCCCCTTCCTGTGTCCAAGTGATCTCATTGTTCAATTCCCACCTATGAGCAAGAACACGCGGTGTTTGGTTTTCTGTTCTTGCGATAGTTTGCTGAGAATGATGGTTTCCAGCTGCATCCATGTCCCTACAAAGGACATGAACTCATCCTTTTTTATGGCTGCATAGTATTCCATGGTGTATATGTGCCACATTTTCTTAATCCAGTCTGTAATTGATGGACATTTGGGTTGGTTCCAAGTCTTTGCTATTGTGAATAGTGCCGCAATAAACATACATGTGCATGTGTCTTTACAGCAGCACGATTTATAATCCTTTGGGTATATACCCAGTAATGGGATGGCTGGGTCAATTGGTGTTTCTAGTTCTAGATCCTTGAGGAATCGCCACACTGTCTTCCACAATGGTTGAACCAGTTTACAGTCCCACCAACAGTGTAAAAGTGTTCCTATTTCTCCACATCCTCTCCAGCACCTGTTGTTTCCTGACTTTTTAATGATCACCGTTCTAACTGGTGTGAGATGGTATCTCATTGTGGTTTTGATTTGCATTTCTCTGATGGCGAGTGATGATGAGCATTTTTTCATGTGTCTGTTGGCTACATAAATGTCTTCTTCTGAGAAGTGTCTGTTCATATCCTTTGCTAACTTTTTGATGGGGTTGTTTGTTTTTTTCTTGTAAATTTGTTTGAGTTCTTTGTAGGTACTGGATATTAGCCCTTTGTCAGATGAGTAGATTGCAAAAATTCTCTCCCATTCTGTAGGTTGCCTGTTCACTATGATGGTAGTTTCTTTTGCTGTGCAGAAGCTCTTTAGTTTAATGAGATCCCATTTGTTAATTTTGGCTTTTGTTGCCATTACTTTTGGTGTTTTAGACATGAAGTCCTTGCCCATGCCTATGTCCTGAATGGTATTGCCTACGTTTTCTTCTAGGGTTTTTATGGTTTTAGGTCTAACATTTAAGTCTCTAATCCATCCTGAATTAATTTTTGTATAAGGTGTAAGGAAGGGATTCAGTTTCAGCTTTCTACTTATGGCTAGCCAGTTTTCCCAGCACCATTTATTAAATAGGGAATCCTTTCCCCATTTCTTGTTTTTGTCAGGTTTGTCAAAAGATTCTAACAAATGTTTGTTTTATTTTTAATTTTCTTGATGGTCCATTGAATTGAGCACTTTTTAAATAAAATGTTTCCTGTTTCTTGGCTACAATTTTCAAAGAGAATTCTAAGAGAGGAATGTTAAGAATGTTTGTGCAATGGTGGTTATCATTGGAATAAGTACATAGACTTTAAAACGTGTCTGTTTTGTGTGGATAATTTAAGAAGGATAGATCCTATTAAAATGCAGTCGCATTGGTTTATAGAGAGACTTAATCAATGGATGGCATTGCAAGGAGCATCCAGTTTTATGGAAGGTGGAAGCATCACTTCCTTGGCTCTATATAATAAAGAATTCTGATGCATCCTCATACAACAAGAGGAAGAGTCTGTATGCAGAAGCACCACCTTCTAGGGATATATAAAGGGTCACGTCAAGGAAGGGCAGAACAAACTTGAGACACTCGCTTCTTTCCCTCAACCGCAGCCTGCTCTCACAACCTCACTATGTCTTGCCCCAACTACTGCTCTGGAAACTGCAGCTCAGGATCTCTCAGAACCTCCTGCCATATTCCTCTCACCTCCATCGCCCTCTGCCCTACCAACGTCAGCTGTGGAGATGTCCTCTGCTTACCCACTAGCTGTCAAGACCCTACCTGGCTCACAGACAACTGCCAAGAGACCTGTGGTGAACCAACCAGCTGCCAGCCGGCCCACTGTGAGACCGGCAACCTCGAAACCTCTTGCAGTTCTTCCACTGCCTACTACGTGCCCAGGCCCTGCCAAGGAAGCAGTTTTCTTCCTGCTTCTTCTTTCATCTCCAGCTCCTGCCTTCCACTATCCTGTAGACCACAGAGCTACGTGTCCAGCGGCTATCGTCCACTGAGGCTGCTGCTCAATAGTTACCAGCCCATAGGAGGCTGTGTGCCCAGTGGCTGTCGCCCCCAATCCTGCTTCTCCAACAGTTGCCAGCCCCAAAACCTCCTCACTTCTGGATGCCGACCCTCGAGTTGCTTAGCCTATGGTCCTCAAACTCTTCACGTTGTGTCCAGCAGCCTCAGACCTCTGAGGCCTCTGTTCAGTGGTTGCCAACCTCTGACCCATGTGTTCAACACGTGTCGTCCATCTTGCTCTGGACTGTGCAACCAGTAGCTTCTTTGTTCCGGTGAATAATCACTCTGAAGATCCAAAACAAAAATTCAAACTCCATGGACTTTTGCTTCTTTGCTAGTAGCAACTGATGTTTTTTAGGTTTACTGTGCCTGATCTAATGCAAGATGCTGCTGTCACATGTTTTATCTTGCTTTCATCTTTCCTTGACATCCAAAAATTTAGTTTACAATGCTATTCAATATTGCTCTGTTGTGGGAAGAATGTATTTTATTTGCACTATAATAAATGCGATTAAGTCCGAATTAAGAATGTGGTTCAGTGGTTTGTGTTTCATGATTTAGTTTTAACACAGAAATGACCAACGTCAGTTGCTTTCAAGGTGACTGAATTGGACAAGTGATACTCAACCATATATTCTTTTTGACAGTAGAGGGATTGTGTGATGATTTATTCCTTAAGCTGCTTTTTAGACTTCTGACCCTATGTACTTGAGAGACCCTAAAAGTCCTTGGGTAAAGTTGTTTTGAAAAGGAAAAATTAGGAATGATGTCTCTTATCTCTTTATCCCACTGAATGCACTTCCACCAGAATGTTCTTTCTAATTGCAAAACTAACCAAGTTTCTGCTTATGCCTTTGTTGGCTTCCTATAGTCTATTCCCATAAGATAAATATTCAAACCCCTTAACATGACACCTAGTTTCCCCCACCCTCTTTCTCTCCCGCACTTCTCTGGTTTCATCATCTTTTGCTCAATATTGAAAATAATAAAACTAAGCTTCTGCAATCCTGACTTACACATAGGTCCCCAAACACATGCTTTTTACGATCATCCAGCCTTTTGCATATGTCATCCTTGAGAGCAGTATGTTCTCAGCTCTGTTTTGAAAACGCATACTCGCTTTTAAAAAACACAGTCCGAGTTCATTAATTAATCTTTTGATTTATTCAGAAACAAAT